TGACTTTTCACTGGTTCTCAGCAGAGAAAGAAGTACAGGGATGATGTGTGCTATTAGTAAAGTTAAATGTAGTCTTTTTCTTTTTTGTTCCAATTCTAAAATTATCTTTCCTGTACATTTGATTTATAAATGCTCTTATAATAAAACTCCAAACAATGGAAGTACAGGCTTTTACTTTTATTTTTTAGGGAAAATGGGTTGTATCCTTATTGAGTATCTTTCTTAGCCATCTTAAATAGGTTCTCAGTTTTTAAAATGTTACTGGTTTAAGAAATCAAAACACTACAAGCTTTTCATTTGTTCTTCAGAGAAGAAAGTAGTCAATGGCAAGACTGGTTATTTGGCACAATCCACAATTCATTTTGAAAAGACAAATTTTGACCCATAGTACTTCTTTCCTCTTATCCAATGATAAGATCACCTGTATTTCTTCATCTATGAACCACCAAAAGTGATTAGGCTTTTATTAGAACTGAAAAAAATAGGTGATAGCCTGAAACCATATTTTCAAATAGTTTTCTCTGGAATTATTTCTGCCCTATTGTTTAAAAGATTTCACCTAAATTACAAAGCAAGTACAGAGGTTATTATTTGGTCACACCCTTACTTTTGTTACTTGCTGAAACTGAATGATGTCCTCCTGATTTCACAGCAGAATTCTTAAAATGGTAATGAGGCCCCAAGTGGTTCAATGAGTCCCTATCAGTGTTCTCATCATGGCCTGCTGTTTTCCCTGGAGAAAACTGTGGTCTTGGAAGGCATCAGATCTTTCAAGTCAATGGCGTTGACCCTCACTAATAAGAATATGAATTTTTGTACTAATAGATTGGAATTAAAAAAAAAAGTCTCTCCCTGGACATGTCTAATATCCCCCAATTTTGAACATATAGCCTATTTAAGGAGTCAATCATCAGGGTCTTCAGCAGCATTTGGAAATATCTCTGTGCCCCATTTCACATTGAAAGGAAAAGGAAAAATGAACACAGGTATGTTGTTAGATTTTATTTATTCTTTCATATATTTGTCAAGAAAAAGAAGAAAGGTAAACAATACTCATTCTGATGATCAAAGATTACTTTTAATATTTTCATTTTATTTGCTTTTTAACTATCCTGTTGATCAGGTTTTTTTTTTTTTTAATGTAAACATTAATATCATATTGATGTCAATTTTGAAATCCAATGATAAGATCAAGACTTACCCTAGGAAGGACAATGCAAAATCTGTTGTCAGCACTCTTTGTTCCCCTTTTTGCTGTCTTTTTCCTGCGCTTTCCTCTGCCCAGCTTAATGTATTTTCTGACTAATCCCTATGATGACTACCTGTGAGAACAAGCCTGGTGGGAATCTTAAACTCAGTGTTCTCGTTAGGTAGATTTACCAGACTCAAGGAGCTAAGTCACTGTAGATCCTGCAATGGAAAGGAGCTCCTAACTCCCTGGTCAATGATGGTTCCTCCACATCTTACCTGTTCTGAAACCGACCACTCCTCTCGCCCCCGCAGTGCTCAATGCTGTATAATTGGTAGTGCAGATCTTCTAAAAACAAGCAAAAAACATTTGTTTTTAAGGCCACTCTGGTGGTTTAGGTTATTGAGCATCAAGGAGTCATAGACACTATCATACTTTTTCGCTTATAACATGCCCACATAAATAACAACACACTTACATATAATGTGTATAGTGCACATAGGAAACGAATGAGGAGGTGCATAGTTTGCATAATACTGTAAAACACGTACATTATTTGCATAGAAGCACAATAAATACTACATATCTCTCTTAGTGTTCTTTGAATTTCAACTAGTGAGTTCTAGAATTTATTACCTAACTTCCCCAAAAAAGAAATAATAATACTTGAATTTTAGACATTCTAAAAGTCTTGTGATCAAATTATCTTGTGAGAAGTCAGTGGATTTTTGGTACCTACTCAGTGCTCAATGTTATACCACATAAATTATCTTCTATCTTCCATGCAGGAGCTTAAGTAAATAGTACCTACAAAAATCAGAGCCCTACACTTCTAAAATACTACAAGACATTTTACAATAAACCACAGGAAAAAAAATTAGAAGTCTCAGTCCCTTAAACAAGGGTCTTGATCTTTGCTTTAACTCTTTAATTTATACAATATTCAGACCTTTTTTTCATTCTGGAACACCTTATGATTACACTAAACTACACAATAATTCCCAACTCTCCTATATAATACAAGCAACATTTTATATATACATATTTTCACTCACATGGTTCACAACTATGTAAGTATAAGTGAAACTAGGTAAGGTTGATATATGCCAGAATTAGACTTACTATAGGCAGTGCCATATTTGAGAAATAATGTGGAAAATCCATGCAATAGGGACAGTTAGCAATCAGTGCATGCTTACTTTTGGTCAACCATTGTTTTAAGCACTTTATATGTACTATTGTTGTTAGCTGACGTTGAGTCAAAACCAATTCATGGTGACCCCTCCCTATATGTGCAGTGTAGAACTGCCCTATAGAATTTTCAAGGCTGTGACCTTTCATAAGCAAATCACCAGGCCTGTCTTCCGAGATGCCCCTGGTTTGGTTTGAACTGCAATCTTTATGCTCATAGTTGAGAGATATATATTATAATTACATATGTATATATACATAGATATAGATATAGATACATACAGGAAAAAATAATCACTACCTTCAAGTCAGATCCGACTCATAGCCACCCCTCCTTGGGATTCCAAGGCAGTATCACTACGGAAGTAGATTGCCCAGTCTTCCTTCTGATATATATTCCCCAATTCAAATATAAGGATATTGGGGATTAGGGGTTATAGAACTTGCCAAAGGCTACAGAGCTAATAAATTGAGGAGATGAGGTTGGAAACCAGGTGTGTATCACAGTAAAGCCCTTGTTTGTAACCATTAAATATCTATTATCCCAGAGCATGTGGGCATTAGTTTTAACTTCAAACTAAATGACTTGAAGGAATCATGAAACTGAGACTTCTTATAGCTCTGTGTCATGTCTACACTCACCTCACAGCATAGGAGGCTCAGCTCCCAGCTGTCTTTCCAAAGAAGCAGGGTAAAAGATGTTCCTCATGCCTATCAGACAGTGCTGAACCAATCTGGCCAACAGCATCTTTTCCTCCTCTCAGAAAGAGGACACTAGAAACATTGGGGACACAATCAATGAGGATGTTGTAGGTGAAAAATTACATGTAGGGTAGACTTAGATAGATTTACCTTTCATCTCTTGAGATTCTATGGTTTTAAATAAGAAGATAAAGAATAGGCTATAAAGGAAATGCTTAATGAGCTGGATTTATGATTCATTTTAATTAAATACTAAATTAGGCTATTATTCTCTCATCTCATTTTCTGTTCAAGGAGGGGGTTGATGGCTGTGTTAAGCTCTGGGTTCTGAGGATTGGGGCTGAATTATAAATGAAATGCTATGTTGATTTTTAAATACTAATTTGATTGCTATGTAATAAAAATAGAACTGCTATGTCTATTTTTAGATCTCAAAAAAAAAAAAAAATCTGAATCCTAAGTATGCCATTACATAATTAATTCTTGAAATCTGTCTGGAGGTGAGTGGTAACTTTTCCTGGTGATTTGTGTATCTTAAATTATTCATGGCCAAGGATCATTCAGTACCTAAAGGCTTAAGGCAGGAAGGACTACAGAGTTATCCAAGAATAAGCGTATTTGGCAGCTTTTGAAAGCTGTGTATGGGCAAGAAACTATATATGTCCAGGAGTTCTTATATCACTTTCTCATTTTCAAATCTTGTATATCCTAAAGAGACTTTGTCAAAGTCAAAAGCATAACGTGATAACCAGGGGAAACCCCAGAGAAAGCCAAGATCTGAAAATAACATCTGGCTGTCTAGATTGCGACAGCCCTGATGATTTGGCAGCCTTGGAATATTGTGGTACTCTCTGGAAGGCAATAAAAGTCCTTGGACGAGGGAGTCAGGGAAACAAAAACCAAGGAATTGAAAGGTGGAAGTGTTCAATATAAAACAAGACATAGCAAAAGGCAAGGAGAGAGGAAGTAGAATGAGATTTAAGAAAATGAAGAAGCATGCAATTACTTGATTAATCAGAAAGTAAGTATAGCTGTGTATATACTATTTACATTCAAATTTTGAGGAATATATTTGAAAAACCTTCTGGAGTTTGTTGAAGGTATTCATTGGAAATACTATTAAGATGTGTAGCCTTTGTGTGAAAATAAAATACAAAAATGTTGCTTGATATGCTTCAGAATGACATATCACTGGTTTATATTTGAATATAAACCATAAATATGAGAATATTCTGAGTTCTTTGGCCAGAAAACTGCAATGAAAGTAAATCATATTGGTTGATACTTTTCCTATGAGTATAATACAGACTTATTGGAATGTTCAACTGAGAAGAGATAAATTTAGCTATCAGAATTTGTTAGTTTATTTTGATAAAATGGTTGTGCAACTCTGTCACTTCTCTTGACCTTGTTTCTATTTTTTTTTTGACATTTAAGTATAAAAGAAAAATGGAACTACAAAAATAAATAGAATGTATTGTATCATTAAATTTAGATGACTATGAAGTCTTATATTTAATATTTCTTCTGACTGCTAACCAGAAGGTTGGCAGTTCAAACTCACCAGCCAATCCTTAGAAGGAAGACTGGGCAATCTACTTCCCTAGTGATACCTCCTGGGAAATCCAAGGAGAGGTTGCTATGAGTCAGAATTGATTCATCAGCAGTGAGTTTTTTTAGTAATTATTATAATGTACACACTTACTTTTTTCAGTGGTTTAAAAGACATGACTACTTTATAAAAGACCAATACATAGTAGAGGTATATATAGTGGAAGTTCCTTTCTATGTGGTTAAAAGTAGAAAAGATAATTACTCAAAGCTATTCTTTGTCAGATATTCTGAACATGTAACATATTCCATTAAAAAATCCTAAAGCACATTACTGATTATTTTCTTTTTCTCTTTTGAATTATAGCAGAAAATGGCCCCCGTCTACTTGTGGAAGCAGAACAAGCCAAGGTGTTCTCACACAGAGGTGGCAATGTTACACTGCCATGTAAATTTCATCGAGACCCTAGAGCATTTGGCTCAGGAATCCACAAAATCAGAATTAAGTGGACCAAGCTAACTTCAGATTACCTCAAGGAAGTGGATGTGTTTGTTTCCATGGGATACCATAAGAAATCCTATGGAGGCTATCAGGGTAGAGTGTTTTTGAAGAGAGGCAGTGACAATGATGCTTCTCTGACAATCACAGACCTCACCCTGGAGGATTATGGAAGATATAAGTGTGAGGTGATTGAAGGATTAGAAGATGGTACTGCTGTGATAGCGTTAGAGTTACAAGGTAGGTGTCCATAAATCATGTTAAACTTAGAAATGATATTGAACCATTACTTATATTTTTTTCATGAGGAACAATGCCTAGTGGTTACCATAGAAATGATGTGAGAAACTAAAAGTCCATGCACAGCATGCTTTTCTTTTGTACTTTGCAGTCTGCCTATGATTCCAGCTTTCATATTTGAAATGTACACACAATGGTTATGCACAAAACTGAAGTTATTTGCAACTAGTAGGAACGTGCAGTGGAACTGACTTAACAATGTTCAAGAACTGCTTTGTGTTATTCAAAATTTAGTTCTCAGTACATAGTTACTGAGAAATTCAGATTAGATGCTTTTTTATTATGCTTCTAAAATTATCTCAGTTTCAAAATAATGGCAAGTAATTTCAAAGAAATATCTGCTAACTAAAATACATGTAATTCTATTCAGTAAAATGATTGTGAAAACTTAATTTAACAAACAATCAACCTCTAGATTTAGTTAAATGTTTTTCGTACAGAACTAATTTTAAAAAATGGTCCTAAGTCTCTTAGACACTAAATACCACATGGTCAAGGCATTTTGGGGATAATTTTATTTCTTAAGTATATAAAACATTCACTAGTTTCAAAAATCAAAATGTATATAAAGCTATTCAATCCCTGCTTCCCCTCTGCCCAATGTCCACCAGCAGGGAAGCTCCTTTTCTTAGTCTCTCCTGAATCTCAAGTTATTTTCATTAATTTCAGCATTACTTTTCACTGATACATGATTTCTACTGCATTATAGAATACTTCCCTTCCTTATGTGAATAAAACTTTTAAGTACGTGTTTGCTAGTAGCTCCTTTCACATTCTAGGATCGATTTGTGGCTTTTTGTAAAACTTCTGGTTGACTAGCACATCACTAAAGATGTGTCCACCTGAATCTCATAGAAGACCATTGCATTCATGGTGATTTGCTTTAAAAGCTAAGGAACTCTATGATATTGTAAATTTCATTATAGTGACCTTCTTTTGTCCCTCTTTGTTGTAGCACTTGGCTCCTGACTGCAGGTCATCAATGGTTTCATTTTTCATTGATTCACCGTAATATCCATGAACACTGGTATTATACAAGATAGAAAAGTACTTGGCTTAGAGAAAACATCCAATCATCAAATATTAATAGAGAGATGATTTCCCTTACTAAAGGGCCATGGGGTGATGGGCAGACCTTTAAGCTCTTAGTGTCAAGAGGTTTTAGTCCTAACTCTACCAGTGTAAGTTTTGTAACTTGGGCAGGTTACTTATCCTTGTATCTTAGTTTCCCATCTATTAAATAAGAGGTAGAATTATATTATCTAAGTTAGCTTTTCTTCTAAAATTATATGTTTATATATCACAGTATTGCATAAGCTTAAGTAATCCACATGTTATATTTACTGTCACCGTCTATTTATTCTTAAATGAAATTTTAATAAATAGAAACTAGTATAAGTTGCCAGAGATAGAAGGAAACAATAAAATAAATAAAATGAAACTAAGGTAGCATAGTGCCTAAAGCACTTGATTGCTAACCAGAAGGCTGGTGGTTCAAACTCACCAGCCACTCCTCAGAAGGAAGGTTGAGCAATCTACTTCCATAAAGCAGTAGCTTGGGAAACCCAAGGAGGGGTTGCTATGAGTCGGGTCCGACTCGATGGCACATAAAAACAACAAGATATTTCTAAATGTTAGCTGTATACAACCATTTTCTGATAGCTTTGAGCATGTAGCCTGCTCTTCTTTTGTTTGGAAAAAGAAATTTAGCATGCATTACACAGCTTAGTGCACTTCAAACTCCAATAGATTTCCTCCAAGAATATAATTTGAGGAACTGAATTGGGACTAAAAGAAGAGCTAAAAGGTGACTGTAAAGTAACTTTTCCTGCCTAGGCCCTGCACAATCCCAAATTACCAGCTTTCCGATGTGTTGGAAACACTTTCCTACCATATAATACATATGCATATGAGCTAAGAGAAGGTTGTCCAACAAACAATTTAATCGATAAATAATTTCACAAGTGCTATCTTAAGTGCCATGAAGAAAATCTCTCACATCTTGGCTCTTTTCATTCAACAATCTTAACCAGTAACCATTGTCATTAAGTGCATTTCAACTCATGGTGACTTCATATATGTCAAAGTAAAAGTATTCTCCCTGGGCCTTTCAGTGGCTGATTACTTGGCAGTATATTGCCAGGTCTTTCTTCCAAAGGGCCTCTGGCTGGACTCAAACCTTCAACCTTTCAGTTAGCATCTAAAGGCATTAATTATTTTCAACACCCAAGGACTCTTCAACAATCTTGCAGTTTGGCTAAGACACTGTTTTGATCATCTAGTACTACTATAACAGAAAATACCACAAGCGGATGGTCTCACACAAGCAGAGATTTATTCTGTTACAGTTTAAGAGGCTAGAAGTCCGAGTTCCAACTGCCAGCTCTAGGGGCTGGGTGAAGGACCCTCAAGCTTGGCTTTAACTCTGCCTCTTGCTTCTATTCCACTCAGCAGCTGCTGGCTGCTGAGGCTGAAAAACCAAAGGTTGAGACGAGTAAAATGGAACAGTTCAAAGATTATTAAGCAACACAGCAGACCACTAGTTCAAGGTCAGAAACAGTCCCAAGACTGCCAAAAAACATGGCAGGCTACTTAGATGAAGACTCAGCCAAATGCAGAACCCCAGTGTGCGAAAAACTCAAGACCTTTCTTTTCTTTTTTTTTAACATTTAAATGTAAATTTTTATTACTATCTCCATTTTATAAAAATGTATGTCTTTTGTGTTTTTTACAAGTTGCTTTCACTTATACCTTCCAAATATTTACTTTGCTTAATCAAACCATATCCTAACTATATATATATATATATCAGCCCCAGGGATACAGGTGAGGAGAGACAACTCAGGGACGCCCAAAG